GTCTCTGTATGTTTGCCTTTTAAGGAAAACCGAGGAACTGAAGAAAAGTCAAAGAAAGCGCTGTCTGGGAAGAGGGGAGGTCACAGATGGCCAGGGGGTGTGGAACGGACAGGAGGAGAGGGTCTGCCCCGAGGCCGGGGGACAAGCACGAGAAATGCTAAGGCCCTCCCTGGTGCCAGCCTCCACCCACTTGACCAGGGGCTGAATCACCGAGAACATATAAAAAATTCCTTCCCACGCCCGAGGGCGTGCTCAGTCCCCAGCTGCCCGGAGCGGACCAGGCAGAAAGAGCAGTGACGCACGCGGGACGCAGGCTGAGAGCTCAGTTGCCAAGGCAACAAGCTCCAGGCCTCCCTCCTTCCGCTCGCGCTCGCGAGCCCCTTCCGGTCGCTCCCCTGTTCTTTTTGGCCTGGTTAGGCATTGGTTCCGACGGGGAGCTTGGGGCGGGGGAGGTTTTGGGGAAAGGCTGGCCAAAGCGAGCTTTCTGTCCTACGATTGGAACTGTGTCCGAGGTGGGCGGAGGCAGGTGGAGCTTGGCTTCCGTTCCTCCAACCAATCGCTTTCAAACCTGCCCCCTCCCCATACCGCCTCCCTCACCGCGGGAAAGTGATGTCTCAGTGATGCCTGCAGCGGAGCATGCGCACTCTCGCCGAGAGAGTAGCGGATCTAAAATCCACTACTCCGGGATTTCCACACAGCTCCAAGGAACCCTGAGGAGCAGGCGCGGGACGTGGTCGTGGGGGCGGGCGGATGGGCGCAGGCGCTGATTGGCCAGTTGGAATCCCGCGTGGGGAGCCTGGGGGCTGACTCCAGTGTTTCATTCATTCAAGCGTCCATTCACGGAATGGACGGGCACGCTCCAAGATTGCTAAGTACACTCTCAGCGCTGGGGGTTCACGCACACAACCCCTGTCCTCGAGCATCCCACGCTTTGGCTGGCATTGCGGTGTCCCTTCTCTCTTCTCAAGCCCGGTTCTTGCCAAAGGAGCGGACACCAAGCCTCCCTCCCTCCAGGGACCTTCTCTGGTGGCCCCACTTCTCCCAGACAGCCGTTGAGTTCTAGTGGCATCTTGCCTTGTCGCTTAATGACCACTGAGCCCCTTGCATCCCTTTACCTTCTTCGCCTCCGGAAGAACACTATAGCCGTCTCCAAGAGGGATTTTGAGCTTTAAAGTGAGTTCAGCACTCAGCTTGGGGTTGGTTAAAGTGTTAACTTCTGTCCATCGAGGGGAGGTTGCTACCCATCACTGGCTGGAACTAGAGTCTGAGTAATTCTAAAGGGAAGGATTTAGTAAACTCAGCCCCAAATTTTGGCTCCAGATCCAAAGCTCCCTCCCCCAATATGTTGACAATAAAACTGACATTGTCATTTCCATCCTCTGATTCCTGTATCTTATTTCTCAATTGTTCCCTTCATTGAGGAAGGGAAAAAAAAGGTGTGATTGCTCCTTAAACTAAAATGACCCACCTTGTACGGTCAGTGGGAGGATTAAGTGACAGCTAGACAGCACTTTGCACATTACTTGCCAGGTAGGAGAGTCACATAAGTGGCAACTACCATCACTGTTTTTTTTTTTCCCCCCCTTGGAGGGAAGAGATGTGGAGGCCTAACCAAGTGGCTTTTAGTGGTGTTAAGTAAATGCAGTTAAATAATTTCTTACCTCGGTCTCTGATCTAGCAAGTCCAGATGGGACATGGCTCTGCAGGTGAGCGTCTGGTGGATTTCACATGAAGAGCCCTGCAGCGTGGGCAGGAGTAAAAAAACCCCTTTATAGTGCCATGGAAGATTGAAGCCTTCAGAGGTGATAGCTTTTGCCCAAAGTAGGTTGGTTGTATGTCTCACCTGACCAGAATATTCTTAGCCAGGATAGCAGCCATAACCCAGGCAAACAGAAATATATGGTCATCTTATCCCAAAGCTGTGTAAGTAGCATGTGACAGAATTTGCCTTACTCTGTCTCACATTGCTTTCTCATAGCTCATTAAACCCTAGTAGCAGCTCTATGAAGTGATTACCCCCATTTAATAATGATGACATTGAAGGCTTGTAGTTAGGAAGTGATGAACTGGGGGCTCTGACCTGCACTTTTAAATTGTGGCTGGGGTGTCGCTCAACCCCACCAAGGCTCTTTGGGTGCTGGCCCTGTTCTTTGAGACCTCCTGATTGAATATTTCAGGAAAGTACATTCTGGCTTTTTTTTTTAACTGGTGAATTTTCTTTTGTTTCTTCCTCCCCGGCTCCCCCCCACCCCAGTGCTGGGGATTGAACCTAGGACCTTGCACATGCTAGGCAAGAGCTCTACCACTGAGTTACATCCCCATTCTACAGGGAATTACAAACTGAATGTGTTCCCCCAGAATTCCTATGTCAGAATCAAATTCCCAATGTGATGGTTTTAGAAGGAGGGGCGTTTGGCAGGTAATTAAGTCAGGAGAGCTCCACCTTTGCCAATAGGATTAGTGCCCTTCAAAGAGTCCAGAGGGAGAGGTAGCTGGCTGTCAGTTCACTATCAGAAGTCAGCAGTCTGCAACCCAGAAGATGGCCCTGTATTGAATTTTCTGTAGCTAATAACAATACAACTCCCAAACCTGGAAGAATTGTGAAGAAAAGAGGTTTATTTTGGCTCACAGTTCGAGAGGTAAAAGGCTGAGGGGCCGCATCTGGTGATGACCTTCTTGCTGGCAGGGGCCCATGGAAACACAGAATGCCATAGGAGACAAGGAGTGTACTTGTACATGTATGTCTGTCTGGCCTCTCTCCCTCTCCTTATAAAGTCAGCAAGATTTAACCATTCGTACTCGACACTGAAGACTTTAATCCTAATCACCTCCTAAAGGCTCCACCCTTGAACACTGAGGCCAGATGAAGTTTCCACCCCCTCAGTACCACTCAGCAAGGATGAGATTTCAACCCATGGAGGCTTGGGGGACTCTCCAACCACAGCAAGGGTGCTGGCACCCTGACCTCAGCTGCGCAGCTTCCAGAACTGTGACCAGTAAATGCTTGTTTGAGCATCCCACCTATGGTCATCTATGGTCATGTGTTACAGCAGCCAGAGCTAAGGCAAAGAGCCATGACACCCAAGTCTTTCATTCTATTAGGACCTGTGTAGAGGGACTGGTGTCTGAGGGTGGACCTGATTATTGTAAGGTCCCTTCTAACTTTGGGTGTCCATAAATCTTCTGTGGGCAGGCCTCAGATACTATTTGAATTCCCAACATTCAGAAGAGGCCATGGGAAATGCTAAAATTAGTGAATAGCACAGTCTCAGGCCCAGAGAGAGCTGGATCTGACCTGGACATGCCACTTGGTGGCCTGGGGCCTCCTTTCTCACTAGCAAAGATGCAAAGTAGCCTTTCCCTTCCTTGCACAGACTGGTGGGGACAGTGAAATGATAAAGTGGGTACATTGTAAATAGAGGAATGCTGTACAAAAGTAAGCAACGTGTCCTTTTGCCAGTTTTCCGTTTATAGACAACTAGAACAGAAAAGAACTTTGAAAACCCACTGCCCGAAAGTTAGACAGCTCTGGATTTGAATTCTTATGCAGCACCAGCCACTTTCGTGACCCCTGGCTGCCAGGTGGTAGATCCTTTCTGGACCTCGGCACTGGGGACAGCTGTGGATCTGTGAAGTCTGTAAGGTAAACATGGAGTCTGGCTCCTGGCACACAGACTTCCACCTGTAGTGGCCTTTCAGGATGTCTCTGTTCTAGGTTCTGTAACTGTGAACTCCATGTACTCTTATCACCATAGGCCATCTGGGTAGCTTTCTGTGTTACTTGGTAGACACCCTTAGCCCCCATAACTCTACTGAAAATGATCCCTGACACACTGGAAACCACCTCTACCTGTTTTGCCCTGAAGATGTGTTTTGTTTATAAATGATTCCTGTTCATTATGAAACAATTCAATAAAAACTAATTGGTTTCCCACTGGCCCTGGGTAAGGATGGGGGAGATAGTGTATTATTATTTTATAAAAATATATGAATAGTAAGATAAGTCATAAAGCAGGGCACCCACATAGCAGTCAGTAAATCTTGCTAGCTTAAAGCAAGTAAGTGTTGGCTCAGGCCATTTTCCTTGTGCTGCTGTGCCCGCTGAGAGTACCACACCTGTCCTTTATTACTGTTTTTAAATATCTTTCAACTGAAAAAGAAATGCATGCATTTGGTTAAAAAAAAAAGATGTTAAAAATAGGCAAGGGAGAGAGTCTTTGTCCTCTCTGGAGATCGGTGTTAAGAATTCCTTATGTGCTGCGCTTATTCTAATCTCAGAGTATTGCTTTTCTACCCTCTTTTAAAAACCGTTCTGGACTTAGGTGTAAATGATTCAGCCTCTGCTTAGTCCTCCTGCACACCTCCCCCTCCCTGCAAGAGGCTCAAAGCTCAGAGGCCTTTCTGCAGATGGATGGCCAGGGCCCTCAAGCCCTGATCTCCTGCTTGGAGCCACCTCCAAGGCTCTGCCACTCTGAAGATAAAATATGCCTGGGAGGCAACAGTCCCCAGCCTGTAGAAGAGGTGAACTGCCAGTGCGGTGGGGCGCTGCACAGCCTGACACGTGTGTGCGCGCGTGTGTAAGAGAGAGAGAGAGAGAGAGAGAGAGAGAGATCAGGTGATAGGGGTTTTGACTCAGTCATAGGGGGTGAAATTTCACCAAGGGGGTGAAATTTGAACAGTGAGCCTTGGATGGCCCTACCCCCCGGGTGAGGGTGTGCCACCCCAGGAGCAAAAGGTTTTCTCTCCACCTGTGATCCTCCCACTCCTGTCCCTTCCTCCTCCCCCTCCCTCCCCCACTCCTCTTTTTCCTCCCCCGTCTTTCCATCCCTCCTCCCTCTCTCTCTCTCCTTCTCGGTCCTCCTCCTCCTCCTTCCCTCCCAGTTCGCTCTCTCTCCCCCCCTCCCTCCCTCCCCCGCCCGCGGGACCGGAGTCTCTTGGAAAACCCGGAGCGGATCTCATCCGGGCCGGATCTCCGCGCACGCGCAGAAGAGCGCCGGTCAGCCGCGGTCGGAGGTTCCAGGCGGAGCCAGGGGAGCGGCCGCACAGGCTCCTTCTCGGGGCCCGGGGCCACGGGCTGTGTAAGTGCCTAGGCGGGCCGGGGTCAGGGGTCAGGGGTCCGGGCCAGCCGGGGAGGACCGAGGCGCGGTCTTGCCGTGGCGGTGGCCGCTGGGGGGGCGAAGGGGGGTTCGTCCAGCCGCACCTGCCCGGACCGGGTCGGCCACACCTGCCCGGGCTGCCTGCCCCGCCCGGACACTTCGCACCCTTCGCGGCCAGGAGCCCTGCCTGGCGCCCTTGCACACCTGTCCAGGCTGTGTCCCCACCTGGGGACCCCGTGCACACCTGTCTTGCGCCCGGCCCCTCCGGCTTCCCCTCTGGGATGCGGGCAGCGCCACGCCCCCGGTCCCGGCTGGGCTGGACCCCGGGCTGGGCAGGACCTCGGCGCCCGCTCACGCCTCAGTCAGGCTGTGGGATGCAGGCTGGGTTTCCAAGGGAGCTCAGCCCAGGGTTGTCTCCTTCGCTGGCCTTTGACCTTCCGCTGTCAGTGCCCCCTCGTGCCCTCTCCCAGAGCCAATGCCTTTGAATTCAAGTTTTGCAGCGTGTTGTCGTAACGTGTTTTTGCCGATGAAGGCAGGGCTCGGTTCAGTTCACGGGAGCTGGAGGTGGGGGCTGTGCCACACCCCCATCTAAACTAGTGATTCTCGCAGGCTGCTATAGCACCGGGAGCGTGGAATATTGCAGTCTTAAAGTTCTTCTGACAAGGCTTGTTTTGTTTTTTAATTTGTGCAGCATATTGGTAGTGTAAAGGGAAAAATAGTTGCCAGAATTTTTTTTAGACTAATAGGCCAGGCATGGTGGTTCCGGACTGTAATTCCAGCGTCCCAGCACTCTGAAGGATGAGGCAGGAGGATCAGGAGTTTGAGGCCACGGTGGACTGACTACGTAAGCAAAACCCTGCCTCAAAAATCCAAACCAAACAAAAAATGTTTATCGAGACATTGTTCACCTAGAAGAAAATCCACATGTTTGAAGATTACAATCCAAGGATTTTCAGTATATTCTCAGTTGTGCGACAGTTACTATTCTAGGACATTTTTCTTCACACCAGAAAGAAACTGAAGCCGTTAGCAGTCAGTTCTCCTTACCGTAGCTCCAGGGCCATGAATTCACTTTCTGTATCTCTGGATTTGCATTTTCATATTCTTGGAATTGTAAAATGTGTCCATGCAGCACATTGGACCTTTTGTTTATGAATAATGCTATCAATGCTTACAGACAGGTTTTTGGTGTGGCTATGTATTTTTCAGATCTCTGGGGTATATAAAGGAATAGAATGTTGCTTTTTTGGTTACTGTATGTTTCACTTTTTGATTTTTTTTTTTTGTGGTATTGGGGCTTGAACTCAGGGCCTTCACCTTAAGCCACTCTACCAGCTCGATTTTTGTGAAGGGCTTTCCAAGGTAGGGTCTCACTATCTTTTTGCTGGGGCTGACTTCGAACTGCGATCCTTCTGATCTCTGCCTCACATGACTAGGGTGGAAACCATTGCCTGTACTTGCTGGGCATGTACTGTACCACTGAGCTACACCCCCAGCACTAGTGTTTTTTGTTTTTGGACTTTTTTTTTTGGTGGTACTAGAGTTTGAACTCAGGGCCTTGCACTTGAGCCATGCCCCAGCCCTGTTTTTGACCTTTATATAAATGGAATTGTAGGGTTCCTATAGTCTGCAACTTTGTTTGCCCTTATGTTTTTGAGATTCATCCATGTTCCTGCAATATAGCAGTAGGTCATTCATTTTCATGGTTCTGTAATACTCTGTTGTGTTAAAAGACCACTATTTAGCCATTCCTCTGTTGATGGACATTTGTGTTATCTCTGGGTCTTCCTTCTGTGACTCTTTTGTAGCCTTTGGTTTCTGTCTCCTGCTGTCATGTTCCTGGCTTCTCCTAAGAGGAATTGCAAAGCCTTGGGATCTGTATGTGACTGTCTCCCCACACCTGTATTGGGGATTGAACCCAGGGCCTTCAGCTTGCTAGGCAAGTGTTCTACCACTTGGAGCATGCCACCAATCCTTTTGCTTTTAGTTTTTCAGATGGGGTCTTGCCTTTGCTTTCTGAGTATCTGGAGTTATAGGCCACCATGTCCAGGTTGTTTTTTTTTTTTTTTCCTTTTTCTTTTATTATTCATATGTGCATACAAGGCTTGGTTCATTTCTCCCCCCTGCCCCCACCCCCTCCCTTACCACCCACTCCGCCCCCTCCCTCTCCCCCCCCAATACCCAGCAGAAACTATTTTGCCCTTATTTCTAATTTTGTTGTAGAGAGAGTATAAGCAATAACAGGAAGGAACAAGGGTTTTTGTCCAGCTTGTTTTTGAAATAGGGCTTTGCTAAATTTTACCTAGGCCGAGTTCAAATCATGGTCCTACTGTCTTCAAGTTGCAAGTAGCTGGGATTAACTTTTTTTTTTTTTTTTTGTGGGGCTGGGGGTTGGACTCAGGGCCTTGCACATGCTAGGTTACATTCTTAGCCTTTGAGACAGTCTTGCTGTGTAGCTCAGGCTGGCCTTGAATTCACAGTCTTCCTGCCTTTGGCTCCTGAGTCCTGGGATTACACGTGTGGCCTGGCTCACATACCACCTTTCTGTAATGCCAGATGATTTACAAAATAGATGTACTAGTTTATGCTCTAATCTGCCAGAAAGGAGAGTTATCTTTGATTTACAGCTTTGCAAACACTCAGTGTGCAAAATTTTAAAATATTAAAATTTCATACTTAATTTTTTGTCTGTATACCTGTGCTTGTAGCAATGGTATTCACAATAGCCAAAGAGCAACCCAATGTCCATCAGTGGGTGAATAAACAAAATGTGGTACCTGTATACTGTGGAATATTATTTAGCTTTAAAAAAGCTGGGGATTCTAATGCACGCTACAATGCAGGTGAACCTTAAAAGGCTTTCTTGAAAGTGAAATAAGACTCTTCCCAGAGGAAAAGTAGTACACGAATCCACTTACAGGAGGTGCTTCCAGGAGTCAAATGCATTGAAAATCGAATGGTGCTGTGGGGAGCTGTGTGGGGGAATGGGGAGCTAGTGTTTAGTGGGTATAGAGTTTCAGCAGTAGAAGATGAAAGACTCCTGGAGATGGATGGTGGCAATGACTCATAGCAACGTGAATGTGCTTCTCACACTATGTGTGTTTTGCCACAACTAAACCTTTTTTGTCCTGCTGGATGTAAGCTGGGCCTCCCTAGTGGTTTTAATTGCATTTTCCGGATTGCTGTTGAGGTGGACATCTCTCTGTGTGGACTGGCTATTTGAATTTCCTTGTCAGGGTTGCCTGTTGGAGTATTTTCCATGTCTGTTTGGGGTAAGTGCCTCCTTCCTCTGGATTGCCCGTTGTCCGGAGCTTGTTGTTGGAGAGCCTGGCCTTTCCTGCTGGTCTGCGCCACTGCTCCCATGTTTCAGATTTCCTGTCTGTGTGGGTCTGGACCTGGACCTGGGCCTGGTTATGTTCCTTTGGTCTCACTGTCTCTGTGTACCTGTACTGTCTGCCTGTACTCCGCCTGGTCGTCCATTTCTTTTACGGCTGCATGGACACATAGCCATCATTTGGCATGCCAGGTTGGCAGGCTAGTAGCCTCAGTGTATTCACAGAGTGAGCCAGACAGCATCACCAGCCAGTTTTATGACATTTTCGTCATTTCTTGGAGACGCCATACCTGGTCTTGCTGCCTTGAGGGGCAAAAGCCTCTCCCTGGTGGTACTGGAGGAGCTTATTAACTACTCTGGACATAAGTTAGCGCCTTGCACTCCATCAGACATCTGGTAGAACTCTAGTCAGACCTACACTGAGTCTGTAGATAAACTGGGAGAATTAACATTTTTATGACATCAGCTCTTCCTGTCCATGGATGTGTGCGGGAGCCTGTCTTTCCATCTGCACAGAGCCTGCCATGGTGGGAAATGCTCACTCAATGTTGGGTATGTGAATGATGAGATTTTTGTACATGGTTAGTTGTAGCTGCTGGCTCTCACAAAAAGGAAAACTTGGTGAGTCACTTGTGGTCACGTCAAGTGATAGCCAGCATGGAATCACCAGCCCCAACTGGTGGACCTGGTGTCAGGTCCTGGGCTTCTTGCCTGCCACTGCTAATAGGACAGCAGCCTAGACTTGGCATCCCAGGGCAGTCCAGCCACTGCCAAAAGTGTGCTTCTCAAAGCCTGGCCTTTTCTCTTTGTACAGGGGCTTCAGGATGAGTGTGCCTGACTACATGCAGTGTGCTGAGGACCACCAGGCCCTCCTGGTGGTGGCACAGCCTGTGGGCATCGTGTCTGAGGAGAATTTCTTCAGGATCTACAAGAGGATCTGCTCAGTGAGCCAGCTCAGCATGCGCGACTCGCAGCGGGTCCTCTTCATCCGCTACCGGCATCACTACCCGCCGGAGAACAATGAGTGGGGTGACTTCCAGACGCACCGCAAAGTCGTGGGCCTCATCACCATCACTGACTGTTTCTCGGCCAAGGACTGGCCTCAGACCTTCGAGAAGTTTCACATGCAGAAGGAGATCTATGGCTCCACGCTGTACGACTCCCGGCTCTTTGTCTTTGGGCTGCAGGGGGATGTGGCCGAGCAGCCACGCCCCGATGTGGCCTTCTACCCCAGCTACGATGACTGCGACTCTGTGGAGAAGCGCATTGAGGACTTCATTGAGTCGCTGTTCATCGTGCTCGAGTCCAAGCGTCTGGACAGAGCCACAGACAAGTCCGGGGACAAGATCCCCCTCCTCTGTGTCCCCTTTGAGAAGAAGGACTTCGTGGGACTAGACACAGATAGTAGGTAAGTTTACCTGGAGGCTGTTTACCCATTGGCCCCAGTGCCTTGGTTCAGGGTTTGAGATACTTCCTTATGTAGAAGGGAGAGCAAATGATAGTTATTGACAAAGAGTACAGAGGCATGGTCCAATGGTTTTTCAAACCAATGACTTTTCAAAACAGGAACAGGTTTGGGCAAGGGGACCGCCTTAGGGGCAGTGAGTCACTCACTCCCCTTTGTCACAGGTCCCTTGTGGAACTCCAGTGCAGCAGCCACTGCCACTTGTGGCTTTAGAGCACTGGAAACAGGATTGATGTGAGTTGGAATGCACAAAATGCTCAAAGCCAGACTTTGAGACTTTCTGCTGAAAAAGAGCATAACATACTCACTAGTAGTTTTTACACTGATTACATGTCAGATAAAAAGACCTATTACTAAAGTCTATTTCAACCGTTTGTTTTTACTCTTTAAAATATGGCATATAAACATAAGTTAGCTTCTGTGGCTTGCATTTGGTTTCTGTTGGCTGGCGCTGCCCTTTTAGAGCCCAGTTGGAAAGTTTTATTTAGTCTTATCACCCTGATTTAGAGAGGAGAGGCAGGGGGTAGGCCCTGGATGAGCTGGGGCTGGGCACTTTCTCATCTGACAGCACAGCCATGTCAGAAACACTGCCAAGGAGCCCCTAAAGAGTCACTGATGTAAGTGGGAAGTGTATGTGCACTGTGTTCAAGGAGGGTTGCTGGAGCAGGAGAAAGTCCCTTTATCCTTCTTTGGACTAGAATTGCAGATCAGCTTTTCTTGCCATTTCTTGCCCTCTGTCCCCTTCCTGTTTTACCATCTGCTGCTGTGGCTGATGGCAGGAAAGGCAAAATGCAAGCTCAGGTGGCGGCCTTTGTCAAGAGAGGGTCCCCATGTACCACCATGCACCAGGCTCTGCTCTAGGCCCTGGGAACAGCAACTGGGGAGAGTGTGGTGTAGCTGAGTAACTAGCTGGCTTGGTCTCTGGCACTTCAGTGTCTTTTTCATCTGTGGGTTTTGGATCCCCAGATGAAGACCACGTGGTGAAATGTGCCTGATGCACAGTAGTGTGCTTCTGGATTTTATCTACGGCCACACAGTAACTTTTCGGCTGGTGCTAAGTCTGAAGAGAAAATGTCACAGAATTGGGAAAAGTAGGCCCAGCTCAGCCGTAGGAGTTGGAAGCACCCAGTAGCCCCAGTCACGCTGTGGGTGGTGCCCTGCAGGTCTGGAAGGAGTCTTGATTTCCTCACTGAAAGAGTGTTTTTGGCTTAAGGAATGTGAAAAGCCTACCACAGGCAGCTCTGTGTTTAATCCTTGAAGCAACCCTAGGAGCTCATGGACTGTTCCCTTTGAGGAGGACTGAGGTAGCAAGGCTTGGAAATCTGAGCCAGGTCTGCCTAGGCCTTGTTGCCTCCTGCTGAGTCTCCTGTACTTGTGAGGAAGCCACACTGCAGGAGCTGCCCTCAGTGACTGGTTGCTGTGGCGTGCCCAGCTGTGCCCACCTCTGTGCATCCTGTTCTAGTGCAGCCTTGCACCATCTGCAAGGGCAGAAGGGACTAGCTGACTGGCTGAAGCCTTAGGAGTGACCTGGGCAAGGAGCTCTGCTCCTACCTCTTGGTCAGTGTCTCTCTCCTTTGTCACATGAGCCACCAGGGACATTTGTCATCCATCAGCTTCCACAAGTGACACCAGCTCCTGTTTCCTTGTGAAATCCATGCTCAGAGCTCCGTGGAAATGACAGAGCATGCTGAGATGCAGTGCCTCTCAACGCAGTGGCTGATGATAACTGACAAGCGTTTACCCAGAGCCACCGTGCGCCAGGCTCTGCTCTAGACCCTGGAAGTAGCAGTGAACGAGATGGCCCTCGTGGCATGTCCGTTCCTGTATTATAAACGCTCAGTCATCCTTCAAACATCAGGGAGATGACAATGCCGTGAACTGCAGCCAACTCCATTCTCTGGTCACTGCTGATCTGCTGGGTTCACAGATCCATAGTCTATGATTCAGTGACTTGGAATGCAGACAGAGCCTCACTCTCCTGTACCTCCTGGTAGTGTGAACGTGTGTCCAACTGAAATGACTGGTACCTGGTGGCTTGAGAGGAAATGTCTGGATGTAGTTTAATTTTAGTTTTGGTTTAGCACACTGACCATACTGGTAGGCTCTCTGACCAATAAATAATTCCATCTCTAGTTCTGGCCTTCCCAATAGCGCTGGGCTACCTATATTTTACTAACAAGCCTCAGCGTACCCTGCTCATCAGAACATGGTCAGTTCTTGTACGTGTAAAGTTGTAGCTGTCAAAATTATTTTTGTTTTTGTATGTTTCTAATTTTGCTTGTTCCTCTTTCTTTTCTTTTCTTTTTTCTATCATACCGCCATGTGAGTATGTTGTTGGGTCTGAAAAGGTAGGCTGTGAATGTATTGCTTTAAAAATAGCTAGAATTCCCTGTGTGCTCTTTTCATGGCCTGCCTTGCTTTAAATGCATAGATCCATATGTTTTCTGAGTAATGTTCTAATTTTTAAATGTTTTTTAGTTTTAGCTTTTTTAGCACAAAACCCATTGACATTTGTCAAAATACTTGCTTTGAGTGACCTCGTTTGGTCTTTGGTATTTGGTGACAAATGAGCTTTTACTAATTTTTTTTTTTTTTTGAGGAAGTGAGATGGCAGTTGACTTGATGGCTGCAGAGGTGCTTTTCATGGGCTGTTTTAACTGCAGAGACCACGACTGTGCCTTGCTTGGCCTCAGCTTCTCAGCAGGAGAATTGGCATAAGGTTGTTGGCTGTGGCTGCAGGATGTGCATGGTGGTGGCAGCCGGCGCAGGCCTGCGCTGGGAGGGGAGCTGCACCGCCTGCATTCTGCTTTGCTTTCACCTTGAACCTGCATTCACTTTTCCTGTGCCTCAGCCACTTCCCCTGTAAAGGGCAGAGGCTCTTCTTAAACTGACAACAGTCTGTTGCCCCTTTGTCCCCACAAAGGAAAAGATGCCTACTGAATAGCTTATTCACTTGGATCTCGTGGACACGAGGGCCTGTGTCACTGACCACCATTTTGGTCTCTGCTAGTGAACACTGGAGTCAGCGAGGGGCTCTGCTGCACCCCTGTGTGGCCCTCCCTGGGTACTTCCGCTCCTGTGTGTGGGCAAAAAGGCCCATCCTGCATTGAAATCCACTGCTGATGGGGCAGCACTCATTTGTGTCACTGATCCAGAACATCCAAAACTGGCGGTCAGCCCTGAGGGTCGGTCCTTGGCTGGCTTAGTCCCTTTTGTTCCTCATCCTGGTTCACCTCACTGTAGGGAGGTTTGTGTTCTGTGTAATGCTGCCAGCGCATGCTGCCTGGGAGCTTTGTTTCTAGCCAGGTGTGGTGGCGTTGGCTGATCTGGGAAGTCAGGCAGGTGTGTGGGTACTCAGGTAGAGGCATCTGGGGGCAACTGGGCTTGAGTTTGTAGCTTGGGCGATGGGTGAGTTGTATCTAGCCTATATTTACTTTTTTTTTTTTTTTGGGTGGTACTGGGGTTTGAACTCAGAGCTTCCCACTTGCTAGGCAGGTGTTCTACCACTTGCACCATACCTCCATCCTTTAGCCTATTTGTTTAAAACCCTGGGTGATGTGGAGAGTCCATGGAAGTCCAGGAAAGTCCTGGACTGACTCCTGGCTCCTGGCATGACCAGGAGTGGTAGGAGTTTGGACTGTTAGGGCAACTGCCATGTGTCTCACAGGTGCTGGGTGTGTGGAGTGCTGTTGCCTGAAAGTCTGAAGGGAGTGACATAGCCAGGTTTGCATGGTGCAGAGAGCTGTGGTGGCTGAGGAGGGGGGCTGAGTGGAGTGACTGGGTGGCAGTGGGGAGGATAGGTTAAGTCCATCCTCAAGGGAGGGTCGATAGGCATGATCACGGTGGCATTCCCAGATTGGTTAGGATATTAGAGGAGAGGGGATGGGGAGTTGGGAGAAGGGCTGTTGCATGGTTCAGGAATAGACTGTCCCCCAAATAGACTTCAAGAAACAAACCTCTTGTGGTAGGGATAGAGGTGGGTGGGGAGGAAGCCGTTCTTGTTCATCCTTCTAAGACCCTGTACTGCCTATGTACAAAGACGCTAGGACAGTCTGTTGTCAGAGGCTCAGCATTTCCTGGGGAAACATAGAGGCTGCAAAGTGTGCATGTGTGGCAGCATGATTGAATGTCATGCCCAGTTAACCACCCTACTGGCATAGTCATTCACGTCACTCAGGCCATCCCAGGCCAGGGTACAGGGTGGGGGTGGCGTGGCAGGCCTATTTTGCAGAGCAGGAGGCATTCTCAGAGAGCTTAAGTAACTGGTGCAGCATCACACAGATGAGGTAGCAGGACTCAAGCTTGGGCTGGCAGACTTTAAAGACATGTTCTCTCAGAGTCTGTTTTTTTTTTTTTTTTTTTGCAGTACTGGGGCTTGAACTCAGGAGGGCCTTCACCTTGAGCTACTCCACCAGCCCTTTTTTTGTGATGGGTATTTTTGAGATAGGGTCTTGCCAACTATTTTCCCAGGCTGGCTTCGAACTGCGATCCTGCTGATCATTAGGATTACAGGTGTGAGCCACTGGCACCCAGCTCTCAGAGTCTGTTTTTCTGGGGAACTTGGAACTGTGAAATAAGCCGATTTTGGAACTTTCCAGGAGAAATTTCAGACTCCTCTCTGCGTCAGTGCCCAGGTTCCCTTTCACACCCCACAGGAACGGGTTTCCTTTTACCTCTGCAGTGACGTAGCCTCAGATAATGCACATATGCAGGCTAAAACACAGACACTGCTACACTTCTCTTTCTTTTTCCATGGAGGTGCGGATGGAACCCAGGCCTTGTACATGCCAGGCCCATGCTCCACTGCTGAGCTGCTCCCCAGCCCTACTTTTGAACTTTTAATGAAGACTCTTCACTTTTCCCTTCTCTGAGCACAACATAACAGCAGCAGGGTGAACCTAAGTTCCTTCTTTTTTTTTTTTTTTTTTGTGGGACTGGGGTTTGAACTTAGGGCTTTGCAAAACAGGCACTCTATTGTTTGAGCCACACCTCCAGTCTGTTGGTTATTTTGGAAATGGTGTCTTGAGAACTATTTTCGTTGGCTGGCCTGGAACCGTGATTCTTCTGATCTCAACCTTCCAAGTAGTTAGGATTACAGGTGTGAGCCACTGGTGCCCAGCTTCTAAGCCTCTTCTTTACAGAGTGATTTCTTTATTCTGGCAATACTGGGGTTGAATTCAGGGCCTTGCACTTGCTAGACAGTTGCTCTACCAGCCCCACAGTGATGTTTTAATACCTAACTTAGTATAAAAACCAATACTAATAATTTATCTTCAGTTCTTCACATGGCAACAGGCAGCCCAGGAAGCACGTGGAATGGAGCATAAACATTGCCGTTTTCACTTTCTGTCTAGAGCTCTCTTACAGAATGCCATTGCCTGCTTGGGAGCTGTAGCTCTGCCCCCTGGGCACCTTGTGAGCTACTTATGTGATCACATTTACATGGCGATGTTAGCGAAAGGCTCCTCCACTGCAAAGTGCTCCAGTGCAGAATTTGCAGACTTCTACATCTGTGTCACACTCCCCCATATCAAAGATTGCCTTCCTCGGCCTCCATGGAACTGTTGCAAACTGTTGTTGCAGCTCTGACTTTTCTTTGGTTTGAACGTACAGATTTCTTTGCATGTCAGCTGGTTTGTGGACTGGAACACCAAGTTCTTGTTTTCCATGAGCCACACGAGTGGTACCAAAATCACAAACACTAAACATTTCTTTACTGATTGAATCATGAGTGTAGTACAGCCTGTATGTTTAAGTGGAATTTTCTAAGATTTAGTGTTATTTTTGATTGTAGTGCTAGAGACCAAACCCAGGGCCCCCTACATGCAAGGCAAGCCTCCACCACTGAGCCACATCCCAGCCCTCTTTCACTGAATGTGAATTGCTGGTAAGAACAGAGAGGAAGCGGCTCCATCTGGGCCCCCAGCTTCTAGACAGGATGCCTTTCCCTCCATCTGTGCATATGCTTAGCCCTGTGCCTGGGATTAGCTGTGAGGGATTTTGGACTGTTTTGAATTAGGGGATTATCAGGTCCTTTTTTGGGGGCACTGAGATTTGAACTCAGGGCTTCATGCTTGCTAGGCAGGAGCTCTACCACTTGAGCTATGCTCCAAGTCCTTTTTGCTTCATTTATTTTTCAGATAGGGCCTTAAGTTCTTGCCTGGGTCTTGTACTGTGATCCTTTCTACATAGCTGGGATTACAGGTATGCCCCACCATGCTTGGTCCCAGTTACCAGATTCGTGTTGATTTTTCTATGAACCCTTTATTCCAGTTCTTTTAACCCCTGTTTACCACTTAGTAGGAATAGTGGAGTAACGTAAAGGCTGCTCTTTGAGGCATGGATCATGTGCCAGGCTTCTGTGGTAAGCCCTACTGTGTATGGCCTCGAAGTTCACCACTGGCCTTAGAGTTTACAATACATTAAGAACTTTTTTTTTTTTTTAATATTTGGATTTTGTATTACCTTAAAACTTATTTCTACTGTGGCTTCATGCTACATTTTTCTTTATTTAACCCTTATTACAAAATAGTTATTTTAGCTCACTATACATATATATTTTTAACATAGTTTCTTGTGTTTTTCTCCATATTCATTAAGCATATTCAATGGTTATAAAATTTAACAATTCAAATAATTTTAAATGTAAGAATTCAGGGACTGGGCACTGGTGGCTCATGCCTGTAATTCTAGTCACTTGAGAGGTTGAAATCAGGAGGATTGCAGTTTGAGGCCAATACAGGCATTAAAAAAAAAAAAAGTTTGAGTGATCCCCATCGCAATGAAAAGCAGTTGGGCATGTGGAACACACCTGTCATCCTAGCTACCAGCGATGGCAGGAAGCCTAAAATAAGCGGGCGTTGTTCCTGGCTGGTATGGACAGGGTTGGAGGTGTGGCTCAAGTGTGCCTGCCTAGCAAGTGTAAAGCCCTGAGTTCCACCAAAAAAAAAAAAAAAAAAAAAAAAGCAGAACTACCAAAAGCGATTTGAAAATTGACATTTTCTTTCAAAGAAGAAAGAAACGTTGTCTTTTTGAAAATCAATTGAATTTTGGTGAGAAAGCCTGTATTCTGAATTCTAAAAAAGTTGGCATAAAATTTTTAGTTGTTTATCCCTACCATAGCTAACCAGAAATTGAATCATCTTGATTCTGACATCTATTTCTTACTGCTTTCCAAAAGATTGTAACAGAATTACATATAGTCAATCCAGTTTTGAGTTACAGAGTACTCTGAGGGTTAGGTTTGATAGTATATGTCAATTCAAAGTAGAGTTTTGTTTGTGTGGTATTTGTAGACTTCCCCCAAAGTATTACAGGTCTTTCTAGTCTTATATAATTTATTTTTTGAATTTTGTTTTATCATTTTTATATTCACTTACACTTATATACGTTATTTGGGCCCTTCCCTCATCTTGTATAATTTAAAATAGCTTATATGGTTTTATTGAAACGTTGTGAATATTTATAGGACTTCTTGTAAGTCCTGTGTTTTCAAAACAGATGGCTTCTTACTGTAACAGTTGTACTTTTTACCTTTGAAAAATTTTGTGGGGTTACATTTTGCTGCAGTAAGTGTGTACTGTTGTTAAGTTCATATGAAGATGTATCACTTACTTCTTTAGAAGGGTGAAGGTGCTACAGAGCAAATCTTTGCCTAATTAGGAGTGAAGTCTTTTTATTTTTACTTTTTTTTTTTTGTCAGTACTGGGGTTTGAACTTAGGGCCTTGCACTTGCTAGGCAAGCACTCTGCCACTTGAGCCACACTTCAACCATTTTTGCTTTTAGCCTTGGATCATGATCCTCTTCCTTCATAGTTGGGATTCTAGGCATGCACCATTACTCCCAGCTTGATAACTTTTTTTGGATGGTCTGGCCTTGAACCAAGATTCTCTTGATCTTTGCCTCCTTAGTAGCTTGGATTACTGGCATGAGTTCCTGACTCCAGCTTTCAGAGTGAAGTTAGAAGCCTAGTACCATGGTGTAATTATCACGTACACTTATTCTGGGAGTTGGCAGTGGATACTAGAGGAGGGAAAGGTCCACTTGGATGCTGCCTTCTCCACCAGGTTGGGACAGGACGACATACCAAGGACCTGTGGTTGGGGTGAGGGCTGCTTTGCTGTGAGTTGGGTGTGGTACCACTCTTCTTGGGTTCCTGTGCAGCTCGCCTTAGTCCCGTCTCTTGTTTAATGGGTGGACATAGAGGATCCTTACACAGTGTGTTAGGTTGATGGAGGACAAGACAGTTACAGTGGTTAACCTCTTTCCCCAGAGGCCAGTCTGGAGGCAGCTGAGGTGGCTCTGACTCCCTGAGAGGAAGGGGAAAGCTTGTAGTTAGGGCTATCTTAGCATTGCCTTGTGGCCAGGTGAAAACCAGCCAAGGCTTGTCTGCCACCTCTTTATCTCTGCCTATGTCAAATCTTAGTTAAGCAGTCTTTAGAACTAGAAAGCTAAATTCCAGGGTAGCCAGTGTATGTGGAACTTGGTAGTGTTTGGTCTGACAGAGGTCAAGTGCATTGGGACCCATTGGTCTCATTCAGTGGACAGGAACATCACCTCTTCTGGACCCCTGGGGTGGCTTGCTCTTCATAAGACTGCTTTCTAGGTGAGGGAACTTTTAACACAGCTGCTAGTTTTCTTTAAAAATCAAGTCTTTTAAGAAATGTAATATTCAGAAGATCAGGGATGTTTTCAGCTTGGGTGCAGTTGCTTTGGATTCTGAGCGGATATGGAGTTGGAACCCTTTGCATTATTCAGTAGCAGTCCTTGCCAGTGTTTACAGAGCCACAGTGAGCTTTCCATCCCACACTGAACGCTTTATTAAAGTGCGCTCTGAAATTGTGAAGATAAAGGTCCTGTTTGTAAAACCAAGTGCTTGGCTGTGATATGCATCATATCACCCTTCATCAAATAATAATAGGTTTGAAGAAGGTGGAAGATAATTGATTTTTTAAAAAGCTGAAACATAAACTTTCTTGTGCTAATGTCACAACTGGAAAATCTAAGAAGAAAAATCCAACTCAAATATTGTCTAAGTAAAATACGCAGTAGAAGCTCCGTGCACCTGTTACCCCTAACAAATCAGTGGCAGTAACTTTTTGAAGTCGGCACCGCCTCCCTCCTCACCCCCTGCCCACTCACACACCTGGCAATGAGTGCTGCTAGCTTTCAGCATCCTCCAGCAGCAGGAGAGCTGAATGGGTCAGCCCGTGGATGCTTGGGTGGAGTGTGCAGTGATAATGATACATTTCTGCTCTGTTCTGTCTTTCAGACATTACAAGAAGCGCTGCCAGGGGCGCATGCGGAAGCACGTGGGGGATCTGTGCCTGCAGGCCGGGATGCTGCAGGACTCCCTGGTACACTACCACATGGCCGTGGAGCTGCTCCGCTCAGTGAATGACTTTCTGTGGCTGGGGGGTAAGATTGTCTGGCCAAGATGATCTCATATGGAAAAGGGGTCTGAAAGGAAAGGGCCAGGGAAGACTGTCCGGCAGGTCCCCAACCCTGGCCTGGCTGCAGCCTTGGAAGAAGGCTGGGCCCCTCCGTCCCCTGTGCCTTCCTCTACCTCAGGTCTTAGCGTGTCTCGCCCTCTGTTGCTGTTGCTTGCACCTTTGCCTCTCACACCCATTCTGCAGTGCCTCCTCCATGTGTCCTGTCAGGTGGTAGATAGATGTGCCCAGTGTGGACTGCACCTAGGTGGGGTTTTATTCAGCAATGAGGGTGAGTGAAATATGGGCACCAGAGTGCCCAGGCAGACCTTGACAAGGTCATGTTAAGACCACATGGTTAAGAAATGTCCAGTATGGTGAACCCATAGAAACAGCTGGTGGGTCAGCATTGCCAGGAAATGGAGGCTGGGGTGGGAAGTGATTGCTAATGGGAGCAGGTGTCTTTCTGGGGTGATGAGAATGTGCTGGCATAAGATTGTGCTGATGGTCCCACACTGTGACTGTACTGAAAACGGCTGAATTGTACTCTGTAAGCAGGTGAGTTTTATTATATGTGAGTTATCTCAGCTTTAAAAAAGTAAAAGAAAAAGAGCATAAAGCCTTCTTGGACGAACAGCATCTTCTATCCCTGGGCATTGGCCCAGACCTAGAGCCCTCACCCCTGGGAACTGTTGTTGTCTGGTAGTGCTTGTCCACGTGCTTTCCCCTAAGGATTGTCTCCTGGGTGTGTTGTCATCCAGCATGTTGTAGGTGTCCCATAAATTCCTGTTCAATGAATGCTGCAGAAGGACTGCAGAGCTCTTCCTTGTGGGTGACAGTTTGGTGGAGAGGCTTTCAGTCACTAGATAAAACAGGTCAGAACGAAGTGTTGAAGTGCCTTCTGTAATGGAAGTTTAACAAAGAACACCTTCAATATAAGACATTTTTAAAATGGACTTACGGAATTCCATAACTTGGGTTATTAAAGAGAAGAGAGAATAAAGAGAGAGAGAGTTGACCTGGAAGAGGTGGGAGAGAGAAGAGGAGCAGGTGAGGGGTTGGCAGACAGAACTGAGTCTCGGGAGCAGTGCTGTGAGGACCTGCAGCAGCATGAGGCAGAGGGGATGGGGCCTGCTCATGCTCTCCTCACACTCTCGAGGCCCTGGGTTGTCTCGAGGCCCTGGGCTGTCTCAGCGCAGAGGCCAAGCCACACCTTTGCCTCCTTCCCCATTAGTTGCTCCGAGGGAGGGGTGCAGTTTTCCACAGGCCACAAGTCTGAATTCTGAATTCTTAAGCAACCAAGAGAATCAAGCTGGCTTAGAGTAAATCAGATGCTAAAAAAAAATTTGTGAAAATGTTAAACAAAACCATTCTTCCAGTATGCACTTTTTGTTTTGAGGAACATTCCTCATAAAGATTTTTTAAAAACATGTTTTCATAAAAACATTAACACATGACTGGCTTATTACTTCTATAGCTTATTACCACCATGAAGAAGTTAACACCTAAATATTTAAGTCAAAGGGGAAAACTCAAAAAAGTCTTGGTTTTATTTTCTAGTTTGGTAATTATCTATAGCTGTAACTCACATTAAAAAATGCTTTTTGTGGTTCTTAGTAATCTTAAATGTGTCAATTAGGTTTCTTTTTGTTTGTTTGTTTTCCTTTTTGAGGTACTGAAGGTTGAACTCAGGACCTCACACTTGTTAGGCAGACACACTACAACTCCAGCATTTCACCAGCCCTTTTTGCCATTATTTTTGAGATAGAGTCTCACCTTATGTGCAGGCTGCCCTGGATCATATACCTCCTATTTGTGCTTCCCTGCATAGCTGGGATGACAGGCACCTAGCCATTGGTCCAGATGGGGTCTCATGAACTTTTTGTCTGGGCTGGCTTCAAACTGGAATCCTCCCGATCTCTGCCTTCTGAGTAGCTGAGATTACAGGTGTGAGCCAGCAACCCAGCTGTCAAGGAGTTTTGAGAACAAAGTTTAAGAACCACTAAATGATAGAGATGACAGTGGTGAATATGGGAGCTTTGGGATCATGAGGATATACCCCCTAGTGAGAACTGGAAATGCTGCCTTTTCAGAGATAGGTCTACACACATTTGCTACATGGAACAGGTGCATGTACGGTGTGGGGGGTGGAAAGGTATATATGGTGCTGCTTTGGTGGTTACTTTAAAATATTTTCCTTCCTTCCTCCCTCCCTTGCTCTGTAGTTCCACAGTCTGGGACCGCACTTGCCACACTGTATATAAAAATGCCAGGCTCATGAATGAATGAATGAATAAATGAAAGTTTTACCTACATTCTCAGTCCCTCAGTGCATCTTTGAGCCTCATGAGTTTTCAGTGCAGCCCACCCTGTCATAGAACTGTGAAAGATAGGTGGCAAGTGTCTGTGTGCAACAAAACTAGTGATTTTTTGCTTTGATTTTTGTTTTGGGGACCATTGGTATTTTCAGATAAGCCAATTGTTTAACTCATTCTTAGCCAGTGCAGTTTGAGCTAATGATGGATCACTAACTTTGTATCTTTTATTTTTTCCTGCCCAGCTGCCTTGGAAGGGCTGTGTTCAGCTTCTGTCATCTACCACTATCCTGGTGGAACTGGTGGTAAGACTGGGGCTCGAAGGCTCCCAGGCAGCTCACTTCCTTCTGAAACAGCTAACAGACATCGGCCAGGTGAGCTTGCTCTTTCCTCCAGTCTGTGCTTACTGCAGTGTTTAAAGAAGCAGGCCTGACTAATGCTTACATAGTACACGTCTGAGTGAGAAATCTTGTACATGAGATGTTTTCTCAAATACTTACTGATCTTATTGAGCACAGTTGATGGCATACAGCCGTCAGTTGATGTGGTGTGAAATTGTATGGTGGAGTAGACTTGAAGACCTGTGTCTGGCCTTTGTTGTCATTCCTGGCATTCAGTGAAGCTGATCCCAGTGGTCAGTTTTAGCAGCTGGTTGGTGTTTTACTTGTTGATGGAGCGCTCCTTGTGAGTTAAGCTTGATTTGCTGTTTTGAAATGACTTATTTGGAAGAGCAGACCCACAAATGCTGGAAGCCCCTGAACATTTATGTTCTCACCTGGTGAATGAACTTGGCTTTGCTAGTCATCGTGTTGCATAGGTCATGAAGGTCTGAAGAGTGCTGACCTCAGGGCCAAATTAAACCATGAGGTACTCTACGCTCTATGAGACTTTTTAGACAGCCTTCCCCACAGAGGGAAATGTGTGGGGATGGGGAAGTCAACTTGAATTTCTTCTTCCCTGAATTGTATTACTCCCCCTCCCCGACTGTCAGCGTGAGATGGGTTCTGCAGCAGACCTCTGAGTTCTGGGTGCTCTATGTGGGCTGCTTAGATGAAGCCACCATGGTTTGTGATGATATTTTATCATTCTCGGCGGAAAATCCCATCTAGTGGTATCTAAGTGATTGGAGAGGAAAGTGTAGCAGGCAGAGTGGCAATATCCAGTGTCTGGGTGGAAAGAGGGGTGTGTGTTCTCCTGTGCTTTGCTGTCACCTGAGGTGGGCCTCCTGGCTGCACCTCCTGTTAGAACCGCTATCTTCACGGTGAGCTAACAGTCTTTTAAGTATCACTATTTTCTCTAGTTCTCCAGCATGGAAAGGTGAAAGCAGGTTCTGTTTTCTCTTTAAAACAATGTCTTCTCAGCTCTGGTGGAGTGGCTCAAGTGATAGAGTGCCTGCCTAGCAAGTGTGAGGCTGTGAGTTCAAACCCCAGTACACACACACACACACACACACACACACACATACACACACACACACGTCCCAAAACAAACTACTCAGAGTGATTTGAGGGGAAAAGGAATGTTTTGTACTCTCCAGCAGTGCCTTCCCAAGGTTATTGTTATTACAACAATATTATTGTTATAATAAATTTATTTATATTAGTTGTCTATCTGTTGATTGTCCCACTGATGTGATTAGCCAGACTAGAAATGTCTTAGGGCAGTGTTTCATTTTTTCCCCTTGTAAAGAAGTTGAATGGCTGTGCTCTGTGCAGTAGGGGAATGTCTTTACTTAGCTTCGTGTAGTGGAAAACGCTTGGGAACTTTTTACTGGGTGAGACAGTGGGAGAGCCACTGCTCCGCACCGCACTGAAGAGTTCTGGGGGACTGCAGTCCTTTGGACACAGGGCAGCATGCAGACCTGTCAACAGCTTCGGGCTCGTGGAATAGGAGTTTAATCTCAAGACTAGCAGTTTGCAGTGGCTGATTATTTCACACCCTGCCTTTGAGTCCCCTCCCCAGTGCTAAAAGGGCAGAGACACAACTGTCAGCATCAGTGAGCTGGAGCAAGTTGGTTCATCTCTCCGTGCCTGTTTCCTCATCTGTACAGTGGAGAAGATGGTAACAGTCCCTGCCTCACAGGCTGGTTGTGAGGACTGAATGAGATGCACATGTGAGTTAGGACCTAGCATTTGATGATGGTAGCAGCTGTTAATACATCAATATTACTATCGTTAATTATCACATAGGAGTATGAGTACTGTTGAAAGAGCCAAGATATCTTAGACCCAGATGGCATAGTTTTCAAGCACAATTCCTTTGAGAAAGGAGATTTTTTTTTTTACTTCTTAAAATGAAATTATCTTAGCTTAAAAAACAATTCTGAAGCTGTGTGCCAGCAGCTCACACCTATAATCCTAGCTACTTGAGAGGGTGAGATCAGGAGGATCAAGGTTCGAGGCCAGCCTGGGAAAGAAGTTTGTAAGATGCTACCTCCAAAATAACCAGTACAAAAATGGACTGGAAGTGTGGCTCAAGAGGTAGAGGACCTGTTTTGCAAGTGTGGAGCTCTGAATTCAAATCCTAGTCCCACACACAAAAGAAGTATTTTTTCAGTTCTAGGTAAAAAGCAAAATGTTTAAGAGGCACTGTTTTTTTTTTTGTCTTTTCTTTTTTTGGTGCAAGCGCTGTACCACCAATCTGCATCCCAGCCCACACTATTTGTTTTTTAAAGCAACAACTATATTAGGATTTTATTGTTTTTTCCTAATTACAAAAGTAATATATACAAAGTTGTAGAAATTTTTGGAAAAGTGGAAAACTATAAAGAAAAGAAAATTTCAAGTTATTTTGCTCAGTTTATTTATTTATTTTAAAAACATTTTTATTAGCGTATATGGTTGTATGGGGAGATTCACTGTGGCATTTCTGTATATGCTGACAATGTACCTTGGTTAGACTCATCCTCATCGTCATTCTCCTTCATCCTCTCCCCTACTTCAAATGATTTCAGCAGTTTCATTGGTCTATTTTGTAGAAATACATGAGTGTATGGACCTTATTCACCCTCCTTTATTCCCTCTATTCCCTTCCCCTCCCACTAGTACCCATCGCCTAACAGGATCTGTCTCACAATCCTGTCCTTCTTTTTATAGGCTGTGTTCATTGTTCACGGTGACCACCCTGTACATGTCTCTCCTTGTGGCCATCCCTGCTCTTTGGTCTGAATCTGGTCATACTAGGCATCATCACCAGTGTGATCACAGTGGGACTGGGGTGTGGCTGGTGGTGGAGCGAGTGCTCATCATTGCCAAAGACACCATCAAAATGGCTGTGAAGCCTTTGTACCCCAGTGCTTTGCTGTGGCCCCTTCACAGCAGGCATTTGTGGGTAGGACTACCATGCCTTTTGCAGGGAGTGGACGAGGCCAGGTGACCTGCCCCACATCATGCAGCTGTGGGCGGCTTGACCGCCACGTGCGCTTTTAGTCCTTCCTGTACCAGCCCTTCCTGGAGTGAGGGCAGCTCCTGGAGCACAAATTTGAGCAGTCTGAGCCTCATGAGGCCTATGAGAAAGGGGGGGCAGTGAAAAAATGAGACAGGGTGGCATAGATTAAAACTGTGCCTTGTGACTAATGTTTTGTTCTCAGCTAAGTTTTTTGTTTTGTTTTGTTTTTCTTCAACTTTGTAAGCACCAAGCCCAGTACAATAAAAATAATTCCAGTGCAAAAAAGAAACCATCTCTGGAGCTCCTTAAGGCTGTTGAGCTCCCTAAGTTTGGACCCTGTTGTATGCTTATTAGTGGGAGGCCATTGGTGTCAGGACAGAGCCCATTTTCTCAAGTTCTACTGAGGTGTTGGGGAGCAGCTGCTACCCTGAGCTATGTGCCTGAGGCTGCTCTTCCTCCAAGGGTATGGCTTTAAAAATCTAGCTGTTAATGACTTACAGTTTGTTTTTTCTAGTGATGCTTGTTGAGAGAAGTTATAAAGACTGAGTTGATTTTAAGTAGGCTTTAATATGAAGAAAATGTTCATTAAAGTTAGTGAATTTTCTTTTTTTGTGGGAATGGGGTTTGAACTAAGGACTTTGGGTTTGCAAGGCAGGTGCTTTACCCCTTGAGCCACACCTCCAGTCCATTTCGCTCTGGTTATTTTAGAGGTGGAGGTCTCCTGAACTATTTCCCTGGGCCTCAAGCCACGATCTTCCCAATCTCAGCCACCTAAATAGCTGGAATTATAGGTGTGAACCATCGTCACCTTGGGAAGTGAATTTAGTTGAATATATAAATTTTGTGTGACTTGACTTGTCATGAAATTAGGATGATGTCACTTACCTAGTGTAGTTGCAAGAGTGATAAGCCACATACATGCACAAAGTACACTTGATAAAAGTTAACTGTCACAATGACAGATCAGTTAGGAGCATCAGCTTTGAATGATGAAGCCAGTGGTTTCTTCCTGATGCATATTGAATACCTATAGGCACATGGCATTTCTGAGTGTTATTTAAAGTAGTAAGGGCCTGCTCTGCTGTGTTATCCTCTGCTCTCTCTTTGTTTTTCTTTTCTTTTTTTTTTTGGATAAGTCTCATTAGTTAACCCAGGTTGGCCTTGAACTTGTAGACTTCCTGCCTCAGCCTCCCAAGTGCCACCATGCCTGGCTATGATTCTTTTAATGTAGTATGACATTTTGATGAAGTCAGTGTCATTCTGTTAAGATGGGGACAGGTAGCCAAAGAACTTGAAGATTGTTTGTACAGAATGCATTTTTACAACTCAGAATCCACATTGCCATACAATCATCTACAGAAACCTTTAAATTAACTAAGAATTTGTCATTCAGAGTTGATCATAGCTGTAAAGTTAAGAAGAGTTGACATTGAGCTATTCTAGGGAGTAAACTTACGTCTTTTGTGGTTGAAGAAAGATTTGCTTTTTTTCCTGCATCCCCTTAATAGGGTACAAAGGTAAAAGTGTTGATTTGACATGTGTCGCTTTTCCCCTTATTGAGGAAATAGAAGGGGATGTCATTGAATAGATAATGCTGTGTTAATAAGTGTGCAAACACTTTGTGTCTCAACACAGTTGTGGGACTTACAGTCAGCAGCCCTTTGGGAGGCATTGTGCAGATGTGGTGGACCAGTTGCTTTTGGAAAAAGCTTAGCAACTGACTGCTAGAAGGGCAGATTCCCTGTGCCTCAGCCTCCATACCTGTAGGAGGAGGTTGGACTGGATTGGAGAGCCCTGTCTGCTCTGGGACTACTTTCTGTGAGCTGTCTCTTTTGTTTATACTCAGGTGCATTTCTGTTTTTGCATTGATTACTGATTCCACCCCCTTCCCTGAAGCAGAATCCAGTACATGCCAACTTAGCTTTTAGTTATGGTCTCTGAGTATCCTGTTTAAAAAGCCTTACTGGTCCTTCCTTATTATGTAGGCTTTTCCTGGATTTGCCATAGGTGGCGCTGTTGCACCTAGTTTTGAAATTCGTAGTTTCCCTGTTTGTGGACAAGGACTTCAACAAGGTTCCTTTAATCTGATTTCTGTATTTAATGCTTCAGAGTAGCACGGTGTCCATTATCTGGGTATCTGGAAAAGTATTTTAGTTATGTCTTATTTTTGGTCTGTCATCATGGTGTGAAAATCTCAGGTGTGCTGTGAGAGTGGTGGTAAAATGGGGCTTTCTCCAATGCTAGGCACCACTGAGCCATGACTTTGTAGGAGAGACAGGCACCGTCTGTGCAACTCCTGAAAGCTGAAAAGAGTTGAACTCCCTCTTGGATCCTTGTTGCATGTTTATCACTGGGAGGCCATTTGGTGTCAGCTAGGTTGGTTGCTCATCTGTGATGTGGACTGCTCATCTCTACCCTGCACAGTTGTGAGAACTGGAACAGGGTGTATCTTGTCATTTCAGCAAAGATCTTACCTGTTAGATCCACACCCATTAGTTATTATTTTTTATGGTATCATTGAGGTGTTGTTGCCTTTTGTTTTTTGTTTTGTGTTTTTGAGGCAGAGTCTGGCTGTGTAGCCCAGGCTGCCTTCAAACTCTCAATCCTTCAGCCTCCAACTACTGGGATTATAGATGTATGTCATCACGCTCAGCAACTCTGTCCCTTTTTTTGGGTTTGTTTGTTTTTTGATATTGGCTCTGGGGATTGAACCTAGGGCCTTGGGTGTGCTAGGCAAATGCTCTACCACTGAGTTACACCTCAGCCTGAGTTCACTTGTTAATCAGAATACCTGGGGCTTAACCAGTATGCTTAATTATAAGTGTATGTTCGTCCAATAATAACACTCTTATTTTTTTCTATCAACAAGTTGAGAAATGAGACAAAGGTATAGAAGGTAGAGGTCGAAGTGTTGCCTCTATTACTGATAGTCACTTTCTCCATGAGCTTCAAGGTTGCAGGACAAGGGATATCTTAAGGCTGTTTCCCACATCTAGACAGACTGACCCAGTCTTGACAGCTCTGGACCACATGGAGCCTTCCTGAGGGGCTCCTCAGCCTTGGATCAGAGCATCCTGAGGCCTGGAGCCAGCACCAGGGGAAAGGAAGGGCTCAGACTTGGTACTCAGTACAAAGCATCTGTTTTTTATTTTTATGGTAGCTTCCAGACTGCAATGACTTTTAATCTGTATTTAAAAATAGAGATTGCTATACAGATAGTTCTTAGTACCATAATTATGTGTAAATAATTGAATAAATATGTTATTTTAGTAAGAATACATATTTTTGGGACACACCTTTTTGAACTTTGTTAGACAGTTTAAAAATGATGAAGACTTGGAATCAGTAGCTTCTGGGATGTGTTCTGTCATGATGAGAAATTACAGTCTGCAGAGGAGGCTGATTGGCTTTCACTGATATTTGGGTAGCTTAGCAGATGATGAGGGCTTAGACAAGCTTCTTTTGTGTGTGTGTGTGTGTGTGTGTGTGTGTGTGTGTGCACTGGGGTTTGAACTCAGGGCCTCATGCTTGCTAGACAAGTGCTCTACCACTTGAGCCACTCCACAAGCCCTAGACAAGCTTCTTGATTGTAATGGAGTTAATTGTTTATATTTTAAACTAACTGCAAAGCCACCTTGTAAACATTAGAAGTGCTTTACTAATGAAGCATCCAGTAATTCAGTGTGTGTGTGTGTGTGTGTGTGTGTGTGTGTGTGTGTGTGTGTGAGAGAGAGAGAGAGAGAGAGAGAGAGAGGAGGGAGAGAGAGAGACTGAGATTAAGAAATGGAGCTTGAATGATTGATTTGAGGGGAGCAGTGACAAGTCTCGTATTGCCTTCTGGCACTTTTTCTCTCCCCATCTCAGGTGCTGACATATATTTGCACAAATAATATTTCTTTGTCACTGTCTTATTTGTGGAAATAAGAAATTCTCATACTTAGGAGCATAAATTTAGCAAGGGAAAAAGGGAAGAAGTAAGGAGGCTCTCTACAGTTTATGAATCACTTTTCTTTTCTTTTTTCCTTCTGAAGCATAAAGGCACTTACTTGTAAACACACTGTTACTCAGAATTGCTTTTCTGACCAGATACAAGCATCTAGATTCTTCAAGGCTAAGTGAATTGTGAAATGTGTTTTATCATGAACAGTGGTTTTGTTTTCCAAATAAAAGACCATGATCTGTTCTTTCTTCCAGGGGCACAGGAAGTTCTCATTGATCCAGGTACATCATCTATGTGCTTAGTTTCTTTTGGTTATATTTTTTTAAGTGCTTGTTTCATGGTGGTGTGAATGAATGGTTAAAATTTCTGCATTGTGATCTTTGGAACATTCTGATTTAAGTAACTTTAAATCAGAACTGTTAAAAACCTGATTGTCATTTGGTCCTTGTTTGATGGGGCACTGTGTTGTTTTACGTTGCCTGTTTGGAGAGGAAAATTCTCACCCTGGCATGGTTAGGTGAATGACGTGCCTTGAATCCTCCGAGTGCACTGAGCATGCTTTTCCTATTAATTTTGCATTCCTTCCCAGTAATGATTTTGCTCTGACTCTGTGGCTTATGTTCCTTTCTACACAAGTCTGAATTCCCTACCGCATTTTGTGTATGTGTTCTTAACAGGGAAAAATTCTGTATATTTTATAGAGGTGGGTTTTTCTTTCCCCTCTTAATACCTTCTGTAATTAATACAGCAAAACCCTGGTTACAGTGCTTAATTATTTTATGATGAGCTCACTTATTTTCTGGCTTGATCAGGAACAATGACAGAGTAAGTATAGAAAAAGGGCAAATTCCTTCCTTTGAAGAGTACAAACCAGGCAGCTGTGCTCACAGGCTGTGTGCTGGCTGCCCCTTCTACCTTTACCGTGAGTCTTGTACTGGGGGACTCGCCTCAGGTTTGCATTCTGGTGCTGTCATATTTGTGTGTAGCTCTTTCTCTGTTCTGGTGGCGAAGTTTCTTGGTAGGGGTTGGGGAAAGTGTAGAGGAAGGACATCGGAATACTTCTTTTGCTTTTGGGAGACATGAACTGCTGAAGAGAAAACAACCTGAGGGCAGGGCTTCATGTGACTGGTGAAAAGATTGGCAAGCTAGGCGTGGTGGTGCATGCCTGTTATCCCAGCACTGGGGAGGGTGAGAACAAAACAAAACAAAGCAAAACAAAACTGAAGTTGTCGTTGGATGCACAGGTATTTAACCAAGAGATTACTGAGCCCATTCTGGCTAGTTATGCCTAATACGAAATACTGAATTTCACTGAGTTGGTTATATTACTGTAGGAGAATTAATTAGATGTGCATACCATGTAGAAGTACTGTAGAGCCAATTCTAAAAGTCAGGGTTTTCTTTTGATAAGAAAAACCAGTTATTTGATGAGAAAGAAGAATGCTTTTTACATTTCTGAAAACTGTCAGAATAAGGTTGGTTGTGTGGAGGGCTGGGAGCGGGCATGGGGATGAGTGTGTGGGGCTGGTGACTCATGGCTGCGATGGTCCTGCTACAGAGGGGAAGCCTCCAGGAAGGGAGGCACTTGCACAATGGTCCCTAGTGAAGGAGAGCGGAGGTCCTGCTCTTTCCACACTGGTCCTGCCTCACAGGCACCCCAGCTCCTAGCCCCTGCCAGAGCCTTGGCCAATGGCCTTTTGGGCCTCCTTGGCCTCTTCTGTCAGGCCCTCATGGGGCATGCTGGTGCCTGTGTGGGAGGGAGGCTCCATGCTCCAGAGAGAGGCACTGGTTCCCCACAGCCTGCATCTAAGTAGCCAACATTTTCTCAGGGGTGATAGGATTGTGTAGTCCCACAGAAACACATGCACGTGACGCCGTCATGTTGTGTACTTTGGTTTGAGCAGGAAGTTTCTGAAGTGTTTGTAGCTGCTGTCCCTCAGTGTTTCCAGCTAGGAGGAGGCACTGTGGGGGCTCTTTGCCTACTTCAAGAACTCAGCGTCTCTCTATCCCTCCTGTGGATCAGCCTCTGGGCTCTTTGCTGCATCTTAGGTGGAATGATTGGTGGTCCAGACTCTTCTTCTTTCTGAACATCTTGTGTACATTCAGCAAGTACTTAATTCAAGTAAAACAGTCTTTTGGCTAATTTTACTTGACTCACATTTGCTTTTCCCATTTTCATGTTGAGAGGAGTTTTCTTCCTCTAATAGTAAAAATGAGATATTTGCACTTCTCATGTGAGAGTGGTGTTCTCAGGTGCTTTGTATTTTTTAGAGCTCTACTACAATTCACCCATTTTAAGTTGACAGTTTAGTGGTTTTTAGTGTATTCAGAGTTGTGCAACTATCACCACAGTCCATTTTAGGGCGTTTTTGTCACCCCAACCAAAAGCTCCTGGCCCACTTGCAGCAGTCATTGGCTTTCTTCCTCTGTGGACGAGCCTGCTCTGCACATGTCACACAGATGGCAGCTTACATCTGTGAGGGTCCTTTGTGACTGGCATCTTTGGTTCGTGTTTTTGAGGTTCATCCTTGTTTAGTCATGCTAGTTCTTTGTTTCTTTTTGTTGCTGAATGAGATTCCCTTCTGTTGGCACAGCCCACTTTGGTTACCCAGTCTGTCAGTTGACGGACTGTTTCTACTTTCTGGCTATTATGAGTAATGGTGCCATGAACAATGTGTGCAAGTTTTCGTGTACACGAACTCTCCTTTGTGTGCAAGTTTTCGTGTATACAAACTCTCCTTTGTGTACATCTGGGAAGTGGAATTGCTGGCTTATTTGGTAACTCAGTGTTTAACTTCTTGAGAAATTGCAAGATTATTTTTCCAAGTAGCTGTACGATGTCACCTTCTCACCAGCAGGATGAGTGAGTTACAGGTCCTGTTGCCTTTCTGAATAGGAGGTGTGGCTCAGTGGTAGAGCACTGGCCTAGAAAGTGTGAAGCCTGGCAAGTTTAAGTCTCAGTACTGCTAATCAAGAAATGTTCAAAGCAGTTCTTTCTGTTTTTGGTGGGCCAGGAGTTTGAACTCAGGGCTTTGAGCTTGCGAAGCAGGTGCTCTACCATTTGAGCCATTGAGCCATACCCCCAGTCCATTTTTTTGGAGATGGGATCTTGAGAACTATTTGCCTGGGCTGGTCTCGAACATGATCCTTTCTGGTCTCAGCCTCCGAAGTAGGTAGGATGACGGGTGAGCCACGAGCTCTGGCTAGTTCTTACCTTTTTGATTCCTGGTGAGTGTATAGTGATATCTGACTATGGTTTTGATTTGCATTTCTTTTATAGCTAATGAACATTTTTTCATGTGCTTACTTGTCATTGGTATTTTTACTTTGGAAAAATATCTTTTCAGAGCTTTTGTCCATTTTCAGTTTTTTTTTTTAAATACTGGGAGATTTGGGCTTAGAGCCTCACACTTGCTAGGCAAGCATACTGCCTCTTGAGTGACACACCCAGTCCTTTTTTGATTTAGTTTATTTTTCAGGGTCTCACATTTTTGTCTGGAGCCAGCCTCCAACCATTTAGCTGGGATCACAGGTATATACCAGTACACCTGGCTTACAGGTTGACATGGAGTCTCACTAATTTTTTGGTTGAGCTGGCCTTGAACTGTAATTTTCCTAATTTCTACCTCCCAAGTAGCTGGGATTATCTTTTTATTATTGAGTTCTAGCAATTCTTTTTCTATTCTAGAAGAAGTCTTCCTGACTTCTGTGCAGTTTCATGCCTCTGTGTTGAAAAATTTGCTTTCCCTCTATTGAGCTGGTGTCAGTTAGAGTACATCTAGGGCTATCCATGTGTTTGAAGTTGCCTATCAAATGTGGTTTCCTTTTGTTCTTTGGTTTTCCATTATTCAGTTAGGATTTTGGAGAATGAATTTGGTTTGTACGTTATATAAAATTCCTGAGGAACGGGATGTACTTATACTTTTAAGTTTTCAATTTGTGAAAAGCTTAAAGCTTAAATGCACTTTTTTTTTTTTTGTCAGCGCTGGGGTTTAAACTTGGGGTCTTGCCCTTGCTGGGTAGGCGCTCTACCATTTGAACCACTCTGTCACCCTGCACTCTTTTGTCACTAGGTATTTGTTTAGTTCTTTATTTTTATTTTTTTCAAGGAGTAAATGGTTAAGAAGAATAGGTTGTTGCCAGGTGTGGTGCTACATGTCTGTAAATCCCAGCTACTCTGGAGGCAGATATAGGATGATCATGGCTCGAGACCTGGTCAAAAGTTACCAAGACCTTATCTCAAAAATAAGCCAGGCAGAGTGGTTCACACCTGCAATCCCAGTTACTAAGGAGGCAGAGGTCTAAGGCCAACCTGGGCAAAGACCCTATATGAAAAACAAGCTAAAAGCAAAAAGATGAGCGGGTAGGATGTAGCTCTAGTGGTACAAAAGCCCTGAGTTCAATCCCGCCCCTTAAAATTTTTTTCCTTATTGTAAAGGTAATGTGCAATGTAGAGAAGTTAGGAAATAAAGATAAGTCATAGTAGAATTTATTCCTTTTTTTTTGGGTAGTACTGGGGTTAAATTATTTTCTTAATTTTATTTTCATTGAAAGTGTACACTTAATTTTTTTGCATACTGGTCATATATCCCACAACCTTTGCTGACTCATTCATAATGTTTTAGTGGATTCTTCAGGCTTTTCTATATCAAGGTCTTGTCATCTGAAAATAGAAATGGTTTTATTTCTTCCTCTCCAGTTTAGATGTCTTGTCTTTTACCATTAGGTCCGATACTGACTGTAGGTTCCCACAGTGCCCCTTGTCAGGGTGAGAACATGCCCTCTGTTCCTGGTATATTGAGTGTTTTTATTATGAAGAGTGCTGGGTTATCAGTGCTTTTTCTGTGTCTGTTCTAACGATCATGTGTTTTTGTCCTGGATTCTATTCACTTGGGTATTATGCTAATTAATTTTCAGGTGTGAAGCCAACCTGACAGTTCTGAAATAAATCTCACCTGACCGTGTTATATAATTCTTTTATAGCTGCTGGATTCGGTTGGCTGTACTGTGTTGCAGATTTTTGCGTCTGTAATCAGGAGCATGTGTAGTTTTTTGCTTTGGTGCCCTTTTCTGGTTTTGGGATCAGGACAACATGTGCTCATAGAATGAGTTGGTTAGGGTTCAGTCCTCTGATTTTTTTTTTTTGGGAAGAGTTTGTGAAGAATTGGTGGTGTTAATTTGTCCTTAAAAGTTTGTTAGAATTCAACATTGAAGCCATCTGTACTGCCTTTTTCAGCTTGAATTTGTTTATTTATTCAATATCTTTATTTATTTGGGTCTA